ACAAACCGTGGTTGCCACAGTCCGCTTCAACCCCACAAATCACCGTTTGCAATGTGGCATTCATGGTCATTGACCGAGAGAACGCAAATCTCGTGACTTGAGCACTGAGATGCACTGAGGCAATACGAGAGAGAGAGAGGAGATCAATTGCACACTGCACAACAATGATCAATAACTATTGCACTGCACATGAGAGAAGAGTGTGAGAGAGAGAGAGAGAGGAGGGCGCACCTCCTCCACGGCACCACGGGGACCACAAGCATGGGCTTCATGTTTGAGCCACCGCTCGTGACACACTGAAAACTCTCATGGAGTCTCCCTGAGGTCTTTATTTTGGGCCAGGCAACTATATTGTAAAAAGGTCCTCAACAACATAAAAAGGTCCTTCACATTTTTTGTAGGCCCGGCCTAAAATAAGAGTCCTCAGGGAACATGCATAAACCTCACCCTCCCACCCTCGCATTCATCACCTCACGCCCATCCATCCCAATCCGCCGCCGCGGCGCGATGCGGTGCTCGGAGCCCGCGAGATCCACCAGGGTCAAGCAGCCCTCGAGGCCCTCGGCGGTGTCCACGAAGATGCGGCAAAGCCTCAGGGGTCGATGTGGCACAAGGGGACTGGATGGATCTGAATGGAATGCTTGTGCTTAATTACCCTCTCTGCAGAAAAACACCATACAACACCCCTAGGGTTTGTTCAAAACTCTAGGGCAAGGGAAGCTGTTTCGCCGGAGACTCGGGATAGTATAGGGAAACTAACCTTCGGAGGGCCTCACAGGAAGCTCTGTTTGGAAAATCAGCACTGGAATTGGCAGCTCACTTGGTTCTGTGTTGTTGGTCAAAGCAAGGCACTATAGTGTATATAGGTAGTGGATGTCATGGGCATTTTTACTTGCGGTCGCTGTTCGCTGAGTGTGCAATTGAAACATACTGCGTACAGTGAGCCAGCAAACAGTTGGGAATCCAGACATGAGGCTTAAGATACTTCTTCCATCTTCTTCCGTTGGCGATTTCCTTTTTCAATTACGCTGTTTCCTCGTGCATCGATTGGATTGAGGCTATAAACGCACGCAGTTTCTGGATCTGGCTTTGAGAATTCAGAACACGATGTGCCAGCCTGGCAGCTTGCAACTCAGCTTGCATCCTCTCTAATACAGCCATATCAACCAGCTTCTTCTGCGCATACCGTCGCAGCCTTTCCGCAAGATTACGTATTTGCTTCGATCTCTCACACCCATCCCGGTCCAGCCTCTGCAAATAGGATTGGTTTCCTTTCATGAGCTTACCGCTTTGACGCATGTCAGCGTGAGAAGAGAAGTTGCTAGTCATCAAGTGTAAAGCCTGTGGACGCTTGAACCGAAGCCCGTGTTCCAAGAGTTTCTTCAACACCATGAGGACTGTGGCTTTTCCGCAACTCAAGATAAGGCAGTGACCCGTCACCAGTCTCCGGGAATACAGGCGTGGCACAGCATCAGGAAACTCCTTCGTGATGAAGGTCTGTACTGCTTGGAGGATTTCTGGGTCCCTCTGCCAAAGTACTAAACGTAAATTCTTGGAGTCGGCAGGGACTAGAATACAACCTTCAGCATCGAAGAATCCGGCCACATAAGTCCAACATATCGGGGCCTTTGATGCAATGTTAGGAGGTGAGCGCTTCAATTGCTTCAATCTTGTATAGCATGCCTCCCGATCGCTTGTTGAGCTTGGCCAGGCCATTGCAATTCTCAGCTGCTCCCTTTTCACCAAGCAGTGCGGCCGCAATCTCACAGCAGCAGCACGTGCCAGCGCCCCACCAACGTACCATTGGGCCTTCGGACGGACACTTCCCAACCCCGTTGCGGCACGGCGTATGCTACCTCCGAAGTTGGCGAGGAAAAGGAAAAGCACTGAACTGTTGGTCACGCTTTGCTCCAGTGCCAAGGTGCACCCGGACAAGTTTGATTGCGGCACAACACATCCATCCCCGTCAAAGAAACCGGCTAAATATGCCATATCAACTCTGCCCAAATGCGACAAGTGTGCATCCACATCTTTCTTTGACATCGGAAGCTCAAAACGCAGGCCACCAGCAAAGTCCAGGTGTGTTAACCGCGGCCACTTTTGACAGCTTAAGTGCTTCTTGAGGCGTTGGATAATCACCGTCAACTTCTGCTGATAGCTCGCATGATCAATCTGCGAAGACCTACTCCATCTTGCATTTGTTGGTGGAACCAAGACTGGGCATGTTGACACCGAACAAGGTCGGACGGCGAAACATGGACTTTGGCATGTGACCACGGTCACCCGGCTTGCAAATGCCGCACGCATCACATCATTCAAATAGCACTTGGCTTTGACCCAGGCTCCTGTCCAATCACTCCACCGGCCGCGGCACCTGTTTGAGGAAAGCCATTGGAGATAGAATACGAGTCATGGTTGGTGGTGCCTGAGATTCTTGAGCCACGTCAATGCCCATGGAATGCAATTGCAAGGTGGTTGGATCACCAAAATCAGCAGCTGCCGTGTTTCGTTTCTTGCTTGCCGGTGGTATGCTCTAAATTTAGTGAATATACATGCATCCCGGGTCACTGACTGGCAAGTGCATGCTTGGTGATTTGGCTGGGTTTGGACTCACTAAGATTCCCAAGCACGGGTAAATAGCCACAAGGTGAAGAGGAAAGCCCACCTACTGTAATCATCTATAATTGTATCTCCAAGCATCCCCCCTGTCTGCGGCACTACACAAACAACATTGATATCAAACCCATGTGAGCATTGTCTTTTTTTGTTGCTTGGGGCCTACACACTAAAACAGAACCTTCGCCAATGCTTTCGCGAACTTTCGCGGCCGCAGAGGGTGCCTACGCGATGCACATGCTTATCAAAGGTGCTTACGCGAACGCTTTCGCGGTGCATCGGAACAGTGCCGCTGTCTTTCGAAGCGTGCTGCTGTCTTTCGAAGCAATCACCGGGAGAGTCTGCCCAGTTTGCCTGCGGATTCTATCGGCCACATGCTGCAAGAAAGCAGCGGCTTCATCAGTGGTCGCGCACTTGGACATGACAGTATCAGCGACATCATTGGCGAGTTCACGCCTGTACTTGGCAGTGAAATCAAACCAAGTCTTGTCTTGGGCGGGCATGAATGCCAAAGAAGGCTTAAGTTTCTTGAGCTTGGAATGCCTACGGCAGCAAATAAACCTCTTCAACTAGAAGTGGTATACATATAATGAGCAAGTGG